GCCGCGCTGCGCCGCCCGGGACTGTCCCCGGACCGGGCCAGCCGGAGGCCGTGCGCCGCATCGCGGCTCCTGGCTCCGCTGTCTGCAGCCGAACGCGCGCCCCACGCCGGGGAGGCGGCTCCTTTGCGCTCCGTCGCGGTCGCCCAGAAGCGCCTCGTTTTCGCGAACACGAGTCCCTGTCGTCTTCCCACTGGGGAGGGGTGGCTTCTAAGCTGCTGGCATCCACGGCTGCCTTTTATTGCTATTTGCCGTTCTTTTGAAGCCGACTTCCCCAAACCTGGAAGTGCGCTGCGCTCACTTCTGCCCGAGCCTTCCGGACTCCCGCTCGCGCGCCCGCGGGCCGCTCAAGGGCACTTGCGCGCCGCCAACGGGGGTGGGCAAGGCAGGGCGGTCAAGTTTCCCGTCTCCCATCCCATCCGCGTGGCATCCCCCGTCCTCAAGCCCGGCGCTCCGGCCTCTTCCGGGGACGCCCGCGCAGTGCCCGGAGCGACGGCGCCTCGGCCGGGCGGTGGGAGCGAGGCGAGGGCCGCTGGGCGTTGCGCGCGGCCCTTCTCGCGGCTGCTGGGCGCGCGGAGCTGCGGGAGAGGCGGCTGCTTGGCGTGGCTCCCCCTTCCCAGGCCCCCGCGTCTGTGAAAGTTTGCAGTGGGTTGTACTTTCTGCTCGGCCGACGCGTTCCTTCTCGTCCTCTCACCCTCGTCCCCACTGTTTATCTCCCCAGTCCCCCTACCCTGCCTTTTGCCTGGACGCTCTGGGGGGCTCTGGCTCTGCCCTCAGGGACTGTACGAGGCGTTCAGTCCTGGAGCCCGGGGAGCCAGCGCAGACCTTCTCTCCTCCGGGTCCCGACCCAGCTCGGTTAGAGGGGGCACTTGGCCATCTCCACCTACGGCACTTTCTAGGGAATGACAAAATCACCTGAGTTTCCCCATCGTGCGCAAAGCCTGAGCCGCCGCCTGCGGGTGGGGCCTCTAGCGGCAGGTGGAACAGACCGAGCTCCTTGACCACGTTTCCCCAAGTGTCTGACCTGAGCACTTCTGATCGGGCCAAGTCAGGTTGCCTTCTTTCAGAAGGGCGACTCAACTTGGCAGACCTGACCTGGACACCCTCTTCCCGAAGGGGTCCGCATGGGGCGTGGCAGACTCTCGCCTCGACCTTAGGAGGTGAACAAAGTGTGATCTCAGAGTCATTTCCCCACCTGCTGCGCGTTTGGCATATTTAGGGGTCCCTCTTTCCCTAAATCAGAGGATTTAATCTTTTGGGACATGTTCCCAAAATCAGATGACAGCTTTGGGGGACTTTTGCCTAGAAAAATGTCCAACGTAGGTGCACCCCAAAATGTTCCCTGCGGTTACCAGGGGTTCTGGGTTCCCAAAGCCCCCTGGGACCACGCATCCCAAGTTAATACCTGCCAGGAAGGACGGTAGATTTGGTGTGAGGGGAGACTAGTGCACATAGCTGAGGGGCTGCATGAGGCCCGAGTCCTGGGTCACCCGGGCGCCCCTTCCTAAGCCCGAGTTAGAGATCCTGAGCCCTACACGGTTGAAATGCGCCTTGGCGCTGGGATGCTGGACGCGCCCAGGCCTCCCCATCCGGTGCTACCCGGCTCCTCTCTTCGCCAAAGCAGGCTCACAGTGCCCCCTTGAGGCCACGTGGGCGAATTTTATGGAGTTGTCAAAAACAAAATATGCTGTAGAATTTATTCCGACTCACAGCGACCTTATCGCCCCATAGGGTTTCCTGGGCTGTCGCTATGAGTCGGAATCGACTAGATGGCAATGGATTTTATTTTAAAATCTTACCGGCAGAGCAGCAGCCCACCGACCTTTCGGGTAGCAGCAGAGCACTTTAACCAGTGTGCCACCTGGGCTCAAGTTCTCCCAAACCCGTTTTATTCAGCCGAAGGGAATAAGTGAATTCATGGCTTTATACTAGATCCTTGCCCCGCTTTTGAAATACAGGTATTTACACCACGTTTACGTTTGTATCTCAATGCTCTATCTTAAGGACCTTTGATTTTTAGGAGGAAAACTTTCCAGCAGTTTGAATTATGCTGCTAAAAACCAAGTTATCAGCAAATATTTACTGGGAGTTTAACATATGTGGTTCAAAGGGTTAATGAGCTAGGCTGCTAACTGAAAAGTTGCTTGGAGTCCACCCAGAGGTACCTCGGAAGAAAGGCATGGCAACCTACTTCCCAAAAATCAGCCTTTAAAAACTCTGTGGAGCACAATTCTTCTCTGACACACATGAGATCACCATGAGTTGAGGTCTACTCCATGGCAACTGGTTGTTTGGTTACTATATAACAGGATCTACCTGTATATCTGGAAACCCTGGTGGCATAGTGGTTAAGTGCTACAGTTGCTAACCAAAAGGTCAGCAGTTTGAATCTACCAGGTGCTCCTTGGAAACTCTATGGGGAAGTTCTGCTGCGTCCTATAGGGTTGCTATGAGTTGCAACCGACTCAGTGGCAACGAGTTTGTTTTGTTTGTGTTTTTAATCTGTATATCTGTACATATAAAGTACTATTATCCAGTCTCTTAAAGAAGAAGAAATTGAGGCACCAAAACACTAATTTGCCCAAGATGTCATTGTTCAAAGTGGAGCAGAAATTAGAACTCTGGGGGATTGGGTCCAGAAACTGCTCTCCAGCCACTAACTGTTTCCAGCGAGTACTATGTAACCCACAGGAAAAACTGAGCGGTTGTAAGGGGTAAATCCTTTCTTTTTAACCTGAGAAACTTAAAGTTCAAGGGTTGTGTTATCGTGTTTTTTGTTTCTTTTTCTTTTCAAAGTAGTGTGAAAAGTCCAACAGTACTACTTAGTAGTTCTTTGCTTGTTTATATACAGCCTTTTCCCCTCTGGGAGTTTAAAGACATTCAGTTTGTCTCATTAATCCTCCTGGAGACAGCGAGTATTTTTATTTCCATTTTATAATTAGGGAAACTGGTTTTGGAGAAGATGAATGACTTGCCCAAGGTCATGCAGTAAATCAGGGCAGAGAGGAGAACCAAGCTGCCATGTCCAAGTGTCTCCCCAACAGGCAGCAGTGATTCTCCTTTATTTATGTGCAAAGTCACTATCCAATTAGGAAATAAAGTATCCTGGCTTGTTCTCTTAGGAAGGGAAACCTTTTATAAATTAATCGTTTCTTCATTAGTCGTAAATAACACCTACTCACTGTGACCTCTAGTGGGAACCTGCTATCTGGAGACTTCCTTATTCTGTGCTACGGCCACACTTTCCCCAGATCCCACTTCAGCTTCTCTTGTCTCCCATGCCTGCTTGGGTCTTTTATGTGTGGGCCTCCAAGGCTTCTATCTTTCCACTGCTTGCCTTAGCATATTGAACCTGTTCATGGACTCAGATCTCGAGGCCAATATGCATAATCTCAGATGGAGAAGTTTCACAGCCTTAATGTGACTCTGCCTCTCATAAAGACACATGCTTAAGTCTAGAGTAAAACTTCAAGGACAATGATTGGCTAAATTTAAGATTTGAAACTGTGGCATTTTAGAGCTATGAAGGCCATTAGAGATAATCTCCAGCATCCTTAAATGACATGGAAAAAAATCAAGGCGCAGAGAGGTCAAGCTACCTGCCTAAGGCCACACAGCCAGTTCGTGACAGAACTGGGACATGAAGCCATATCTGCAGTGCCTTCTATTACCTCATTTTTGCTGTTAGTGCCAGGCTCTTGTCAAAATCATTCATTCACTTATCAAATGTTTATCAAGTCGGCACTTCAGTGCCAGCACTGAAGCAAAAAGGGAAGAGTTTTTCTTCACTTACTGGAACTGAAGAGATTTTGGCATTTTAAATACATGGAGAATAACGCCTTTTTATGTGTTATTTCATGAATTATGAAGATTACAAAGGTGGTGTTTTCTTTTCTCTTTAAGATTAGCCAAATTCTGTGAATCATAATAGTAGCCAGAATTTGAAATTAAACTATGTATTACATCCGGACAGAAACGTACTTTAAAAACACAAGTATAGCATGGTTCTTAACAAGCTGCTAGGCACAGCCTTAGAACACCAAATTTATTTACTCGACATAGACTGTTGAATACCTATAATTTTACAAGTTATTTTTGAGCGGTATTGCTTTATTAGAGTTGTTTTCTTCATGTAAAAATTTTCAGAACATATATCTTGCTGATTGCTTAATATGTTTGGAGGTCATATATATGTTTTGCAGAGAAGACACTTTGGCTAATGAAGATCAATAGGGAAATAGGTTGTGGAGAAAGTTTCTTTTTTAAGCATCGTATTAGAACTGTTTTGCAATGGTAATAACTATGACAGAATGCCTGTTGATACCCTCAGTGTAATTAATTAGCATTAGTTATATTCAGGTTTTAAATGCTAAATATCAAAAAACAGCTGTATTGCTCTGCTCAGAATCTGTGATTTAGGGATATAGAATGAAAAATAATTTGTTTTGAAATTTTCTTAGTGCTGCATAAGGTTTCGGACTATTTTATTTGTAAGATAATTGTTCACGCATAGGGTGTATAAAAGTTAAATTCCACTAACATCTATTAAACGTCAGTCCCCAGGGTTTCTAGCCTTGTAAAAGTCAAGGATGTATAATATTAATCTTAAAATGCAAAATATGTCTTGCGTCTAGAGCTAAAAAGATCTAGAAGGAACGGGTGCCACAGGGAGAGTTGAGAATAATGGGCTTGA